AAAAAAAAAAAGTCTTCTAACGACTCGTGCCACTGACTGCCCAAAGGAAGTTCTCCCCACCCCTCCCTGGGCTTTCACCCCGCGTCTTCGACAGCAACTGCACTCACATCGTGCACCTCGTAATCAGCCAAAGTGATGTGATTCTTCAGAATGGTATATTGCCTGCTCAGCTTGATCTTTTCCGGCACCGTTCCAATCTGAGCTGCGATGAGTTTCTTCAAATCTCCAATCGTGTCGTCTGGACTGCACTTGACTCTGACTAGTGGTGGTGGTGAGTGGGGGAAAAGCATGAAGATATAGAGGGCGATGGGCAGATGAATTAGCGGGGACAAGCATGGGATTGGCACCGGGATGAAGCTTGTATGCGCATTGCAACTTTGACTCACCACGACGACCCAACCGATCGTTGGCGTAGATCTCGATGAGACGAGGCATCCTTCAGCTGTTGCGATGTTCAGCTTGAAACGTGGCACGCCAGATAATGCTTGCTACACGAGGTGAAAGCGAGATTCTCCACTGCTGGGCTGCACGGAGCGACGATCAAAGGCGATGCGCAAGAAGGGTCGGGAGAGCTTCATCAAACGAATCACGCGAATCATGGCGAATCAGTCGTAAGTCGGGGCTCGGGAGTGGCGGTGCAACTGTGCCTACACACAGTGCGGTGTAGCGCGCGCTATGGCTCACTCACTGCCTGAATGCAAAGCTACGCGCACCACTGCCGCTGTGATTGATGATGGCGGTGGAACTACATATGATTGCTTGCTTCAATTTGAATTCGCGATTAGTCACGACTTCGCGATGTCAGCTTTCAAGATCCGTGCTGCTGCATGGCTTCTTTTTGTCGAAGCCGGACCGCGGCCGCGCACAAAGTTGGGATAAGCGTGCTGCTGCTTCCGTACATTTATGCAGACCGCTGGTCGACCTTTCCAAACTCGAAACTTGTCTTCGCTGTCACGCATTCACGCACTCGTCACCTATCGCTTCGACGTGATCAACATCAGTCACAGCTGCTCCTGCCATCCTCATTGAGCGTGTACCCTGTGTTAGATCTTCGCAGCTCGACCCGTCTTGCGCTGCTCTAGCCACATCGAACGCCCGAACCGACGAGCTGCCAAGATGCTACTCCTACCAACCTCGGTGACCGCCTCGGTCGCATCTTCCAGCAAGCTGACGCTTACTCGCGCCGCATGCTCCCCGCCAACAAGCCGATTCAGCAAAATACAGCGACCCGTCGGCTTGCTAGACAGGCGCTATACCGCCTCTGCCCGTCGGCCCAGTTGGCCTGCTCGGCATCGAGCAACTCCTGCCAGCCATTCGCCTACTCAAGCACGCTTCTCCTCCACCCGTCCGCGAGCCAATTCCAGCAAAATCCTTCGAGCTCTGCCAAGGTTGAGTTCAGGCTTGACGCTGGTCGGTGGCACGTTGGCGCTGCTTTTGGCTCTATGCGCCTCATCGCAGAACAACAAGGTGCACTCCGACTCTTCTTCCCTCTCAGCCATCCCTCTCTCCACTCCCTCCTCCTCTCTTCCACAATCGACCAAAAGAACAGACATTTCCACTGGCGAGTCTCTGCCCAGATTGCTTCTCTCTCCAGCCACGAATGAAAAGCTGCATTTGGTGGGGCTGGGAGTGAGGACGGTGAGCTTTTTGAGAGTGAGGGTGTACGTAGCTGGGCTGTACGTCGATGGCAAAGGTCTGGATAGGGCAAAGAGGCTCCTGGGAAGCCAGGGCAAGGAAGAGAGCACAGAGGCCGTGCTGAGACAGTTGTTGCTGGGTGGAACAGAATGTCTCATCCGCATAGGTGAGTACGAAGGGTCCGTGCACTGGCATTGCTGCAAGGCTCTCTCTGCCTTCCGAACGAGCTTTCGCCGCTTTTCAAGCCGACGCTGAGCGCTCTACACTTCTCTTGACCCGCTTCAGTTCCCGTGCGCAATACCGACATGTCACACTTGCGAGACGGATTTCTGCGCTCATTGCAATCGCGGGCCAAGCTAGCTCGTCGTTCGGGCAGTCTGAATGCAACAGACGAGCACCTCCTCGATTCAGCCTTGGATTCACTGCGTTCGCTCTTTCCCAAGGCTTCGGTGGCAAAGGGCCAATCTTTGGACCTGAGATTTGCCGGGGCTAGTAGGATGGATGTGCTTTTTAAGGGAAAGAGATTGGGCGCTGTGGGAGAGAGACCCGCTCCTACTGGCGTGAGGGGGAGGGATACGGACGACACCGCCTTTGATAGGTGGGCAGGCATCGGAGAGCTGCTCTTGGCCTATGTGGCCGAAAAGGGCGAAATTTCAGCGCCGGTGAGTCAGCGATTCTCTTCACACTGCCTTATCCGGCAACTGTCCGAAGCTTCATTGAGACTCATGCCATGCCCGAGTACCATCTTGTCGTTACAGATCAAGCAAGACATCGAAGTCAACCTCCAGCACTTGGCGCAGAAAGGCTCTCTGCCGATCGAATAGAGTCTGAGCCGCTACTAAAAATCATCAATGCCTGCGCGTCGCATACATCATCAGCGGCTCAAGCACGCTTCCAAGAGAAGCTTCTCACCATTCATGTGTAATTTGATACATTTTCCTCATCGCTCAAGATGGCACAGTCGAAAAAGGCTACGCATGCTGCTGCGGCTCGTAACCGGATGGGAGGCAAGAGAAGGCTCTGCAGGCCAAGCTTACCCACCGAACGATCCCACCAATGTTCCCAGAAGCGTGATGATCGCTCCCCTGTACAGGGCCTGCAGGTATTGGAAGATGCCCGGCAAGACCCGTCAGCAAGAACATCGCTGGAATCAGTAGAGTGAGAAACCGAAGTCACTCACCTCGACGCCTTCTTCATCGACCAATTTGTTGAGACAGTCAACGAAGCCCTCGTACCTCTCAACCACTGGTGCTCCGAAACCTTGTTCGGCCGCTTCTTGGGCAGCGCTAGCAGTCAATGGCTGATCGCAAGGTCTGAGTGCTATGATAGGTTCTCGCTGCTGGGACAAGTGGTCATTGGACGTCGGAAGAAAGGGCGCTTGTTCTCTCGCGAACGCGGCGCCTGCAACGGACGCTGGTCTAGCCGACTCGTGGTTGGCCTTTGATGGCTTGGCAGGCTCATCTTCCGTATCCCTGTATGCGTGCCCCGAACCATTCGAACGAGGCGCCTCCAATCCGCCTTCATCTTCCTCCTCGTCTTCAATCGCAAAGCTGGGTCGGGGAGCGGGCTCAGCTGCATCGCTGGGCTGCTGTGGCAGAGGTTTGTCCGGCGCATTGCTTCCATCTCTGTAATTGTCGCTTCTTTGACTGGCATTGTGATGACTGAAGGAGTTGGGCGCGTTTCCGTTTGCGCGAGGCGCAAAAGCCATGTGCAAAGGTTGCTGGCTTTCTGGTCTCTGGACCGCCAAGCGAACTATAACGATCTCCACTGGACTGAGGATCAAAGTCGATGCGACGTTCCATGCCAAGAAGATTGCCAGCCCCAACGCACCGACTTTCAGGGATTCGTCTGTCGGTCCTGAAAAGTATTGGTCATCTGGTGCCGCGGGTTTGACAGGTGGAAGACCTCCTAAGGCTGGGACTGTCAAGTATCGGACCAGGCGAGTGGCCAAGCCGACCCAGGACACATGCAGCAAGGTCGCCGCAAGTAGTCCAGGCACTTGGAACAGACGCCAAGGCTGGGCGTACTCTGAGGGGGAGAGCAGCTCCCTGAGATTCCGCATGGGTGTCGTCATTGACAGAGCGCGAGGATGCACGATTGTCCTGAGAAAGCATCCACAAGTTTTGAATCAGCTCAAGTCATTGTGCACTTTGCTAGTGCTTCGATGCTACTTACCGAGTCGTAATGACGCTCATGGGAAGGGTGACTATGGCGACGAGAGCCATGAAGAAGAGGTTGCCCCAGAAGCCAAACTTGTCGGGGCTCGCTGGCGCACTCCTATACGCCCCACCAGAAGCTGAGATGGCGCCAGTGTTGAAGATGACGCCGGCAATAAAGCCGAGCGACATGAGCTGAATAGCGACGGGTGCAGAGCCTCTGTATATGCCGCTCCAGCCTTCCAATCTATACGTTCTTTGCAGCATCCCCCACACGCCATTTACCACCGGTCCAATCTTTGCGGCTGCCCTGGCATCTCTCAGGAAGTAGGCAGAGATGGCGCGTGGATTTGCACCGCTACCCAAATTTGTGCTGCCATCCTCCAACACAGAGTCGAGCGATAGGGCTTTGGGCAAATAGTTGGCTCGCAAACGCACGAGTGCGCCTGTGAGCGGCTGCGATATCAGCAGGGACACGGAGATGGTGATGACGAGAAAAAAGACGGTGAATACACCACCGAGCACATCCAAGATGAAGCCCATCTTGAGACTGGTGCGTCTGAGCGAGCACGATTTGACTTTCTGCTGTCGATGATACGGGCCTCCCTTATCGAGTCCGTGTAGTTAAAGGTGCAGAGCGGATAAGCTAGCAAAGTCCACTAGAGACTGAGGGTCGAGAGCGTGCGAGCTACAATCGGCGATGCTGAAGGTGGTGAGGGTCTGATATGAAGACTCAGGAGCACACTCGCCCCCGCACCGCACCCCCTCATCCGACGAGGACACAATGCGCGCAGCACCGCAAGGTCGCTCGGCTGCGCGCACCGACCGAAGCGCACACACGCATCACGCAGCAGCGGCATGCAACTCGAACGTCGGCAGACCTCCCGCACCATCAGTACGGCCTGTGCGTGCTCAGGCGCATCTGCGGCCTACTCTCGCTGTAAGTCACTCGGGCCACGTGATCTTTTCGTTTGAACTGGAAATCTGATTATTATTCTGATTGCACGCACAATCACATGCACGTGTAGCGCGATGTGGTCACGTCTTCTGAGATTGTACCTGTCCTTCTGAAGAGCAAGCTCAGACAAGCAGATCATTTACATGCACCACTCTATGACGACAAAGTCAAGACGCAGGCGTTCTCGATTGCTTTGATGTATCATTTGACGACCGGAGGGAAGCATGTTTGTTACGCGCAGGGACCAAGAACCACTTTGTGAGAGAACCGACACGTCGATGATTTAGAGCGCATCATGAGGAGATGGGTCGGAGCAGGAGATTCGAGCACGAGAGCGCAGTGCTTGTAGAAGCATGACGCGCACGCCGGGCGAAGCAGTGCCTCACCACACTTCTGAAGCGGCGTAATGGGCGACAAGATCCACCCTGCAACATACGAACCGCTAGCTTGCTCGAGGCTGCGGTTTAAGCCGAGCCTCCGCTGGGTCGCTGCCCCAGCATAGCCATCAGATTGGCAGCGTTCATCGGTTGCTGGCCTCCGGGCGATGGCATGGCATGACCAGAGCCAGGTGAGTGACCGAATGGTGGAGGTGTAGAGACCGGGGGACCGCCACTAGCCCCTTCGCCCGCGAACGAACCTGGGTGTTGGTGGTGTGACGAAGCGCCCTGGTGAGGTGGCATCATGGGCGATTGCATCGGACCAGGTCCAGGCGCAGGTCCCTTTCCAAAATGTTGGGAAAGGACTTGATGCTGCACGTGAGGTGGTAGGCTCATGATGTGCTGCTGAATGTGCGGCGGCAGTGCGCCCAACAGGCCAGGAGGCGGGGGTGGCGGCATGTGTGGTCGACCTGGCCCTCCGGCTCCATTCCCAGGAAAGCCTGGCATGTTCGGCGGTCTTGGTCCCATGGCGCCAGCACTAAGGGCAGCGGCAATGTGTGGGGGCAGTCCAGGTGGCAGGCTGTGGGGCCCCATCGGCCCTCCTGAACCCGGCCGACCCATCATCCTCGGGTCTACGCCGAAGGAGAATCGACCATCAGGCCCTCCAACACCCGAAGGTGGCGCTGCCGAATTGCCATTGCCAGGCGAAGGCAGTCCACCGTACATGTGGTCCGATCGGTGCTGTTGAGGCGAGACGCCGCTGTACGGAAATCCAGGAGGGAGTGGAGGACCACCCAGCGAAGGAGACATCATAGGCCCACCAGATGGAGTCTGGTTGCTGGCAAGACGCTGGTGAGGCTGTTGGTGTTGTTGAGTGTAAGCGTCGTTGGGCTCACCTGGCGCGCGCTGAATAAAGCTGAATTGGGGACTCTGCTGATGACCGCTCAGCTCTTCTCGCTGAAGAGGTATGCGATTATGAGCTGAATGACGATCGGTCTGGCTTTGGTGCGGCCCACTGTTGCTGTTGGCACTGTGCGTAGGACCAGAGAGATGGGCAAAGGCGGGTGACGAGCTCAATCCGTCCACGCGGTGTTCGGTCGTTGGGCGCTCTTGGGCGCCAGAATGAGCAGGGACCCGTGGTGACCTGTCCAGAGGAGCATCGGGTTGGGTGCGACCACCACTTGCGAGTAGCGCGGCAATCCCGCCGCCACCGCTTGACTGGTCACGGGCGTGATTCTGGGGTCCATCGCCTTCTGGACGGTTGGCTCCCCCTCCAGCACTGAGAAGGGCCATAATCTTCTCCATTGATGCGATATCCTCGCGAGAAGGCTGTTTCACCGCTGATCGCTCAGGAGCGTTCGACTGTCCTGGCCGTACCGGCGCCGTAGCTTGCCCATCACGCTTGCCAGAAGCGGCCTCCTCGCGGTAGTCAGTCGCCGGGGAGCTGGGTGCGCCAGCACTCTTGAAAAGATCAGCCATACTCAGAGATTGCCCAGCAGATGCAGAATTGCTTGGTTCGACGGACGGTGCTGCGCTGGATGTCATGTCGACCGCTTTAGCCTCCGTGAAGCGTTGTTGGGCAGCTAGAGCAGCAGCTTGTGGATCGCGAGGCTTGCCGTCAAAGAACCGCGCAAAGCGACTCGATCGACCAGGAAGACCTGGTGGGCCAGCAGCCAAGCTCGCCGTGTTCGTCTGTTCGGCCGCCCCACGCTGAGTTGTGCCACTGCTTGCCATAGTCTCTCCATCCTCACTCGGCTTTTTAGCGTCAACCGGCGCTGAGGATGTCTCTGGCTTATCAGATGCGTCTTCTGTGACCCTGGAAGTGCCGAAAACGGATCTCTCCGCAGCGGGCCGTGCTAATCCCGGTGGCGCTGGTCTTGCGCCATTTGCTCCGGAACCTGCATTAGCGTCGAGTTTCTCCTTTTCGAGTCTCTCTTTCTCTTTCATTTGAGCTCTGAAAGCCTGTATACTGTCCATACCAGAAGCAGAACCAATGGTTGGAAGTTCATTGTCGGACACTTTGCGTGCAGGGGCGCTCGTTGGCATTGTCGAGCCAGTCGAAGGCAAGCGAGCGGATTGAGGAGTGGAGCTGGATTCGTCATCATTCATCCAGCTGGGTTCAGCGTCTTCAGCCATCCAGGACGGGAAAGCATTCTTCCGAGCAGAGTCCACGCCCCTCTCGTCTCTGCGATCGCGACCCAAGGCGCTCCTGGGTGGGTTCAAGCCAGCGGAGCGCGGAGCCGCTAGTGCTCCGCCTCTTCGCCAATCACTTGCAGAATCTGCTTCCCGCTGTGCCGCTGCTCTGAGCCTCCTTTCTGTTTCCGGACTTCGAGGAACGCTTTCCCACTCGCCTCCGTCGTCCTCAGCACCATTCATCGCTTCGCTGCGCGGAGTCCTTCGCTTCTCACGCAAGCCGCCAAAATCCCTTCCAGAAGCTGATCTGTCTGTTTCGCGAATTTCCTTTGCACGCGCACCACGAGAACCACGCTCCTCGAGTGGCGTCGTTGACGACCCATCGCGACGTGAACCACCAAACTATGTCGCACGCGGGTGAAGGCGTAAGTCGGACTGCAGGGTATCAGGCATCGCTCTGAAGAGGCACGTACCCGTCTATCGGCTCCAGGACTATCGAGATCCTTGCCTGCCGGCCGGAAAGTGCCGCCGGCAGAGAGCTGTCCAAAGGGATTTTTGCCAGACGGCGGGAAGCGGCTTCTTGGGAGGTCTGTGACATGCGCAAAATGTATGAGCGCTCGGGCTCAATAGGTGCAGGAAGGCTGCAACCAGCTCACCACTGAGACGCAAAGGACTAGGCACGTCACTGCTCTCGTCATTGAGACGTCTAAATCTGCCGGCGCGTATCAAAGAGCATTCAGCCAAAGCGATGCGTGAGCTTTTTTCTCGCATCACCAGCTTTCTCACCCTCTCTCCACTCCCTTTCGTGTGCCCTGGAAGCCACTGATTTGACCCTTTTCAAGACTACCGCTCTGAAATTCGCCATCGTCCAACCGCTGCCCGCGATCAGCTCTGTCTCCTCGCTCGCCTCGAGCATAGTGACCGTGTTCCCTGCCCTCTCTGCCTCCACCTTGACCTATGTTCTGGCCACCCGGATAGCCATGGGAGCCATGAGTCGACCGCGGTGTATAAGGTTCCCAGTCCCTGCAAACGTCGTCAAGTACGATGAAGCCTGTTAGCTCGTATGGCCCGCAGAGCATTTGGCTTGCATCCAACAATGGTTCGTGACGCACCCGTACCACTCTTTGAGCGATGGCATGCCAGCCGGCAATGTGACTAGCGGACTCTTGCTGAGAGATAGCAGCAGCGTCGTGGAGTATGGCTGGACAGTCCTCTCACGGACATCTTGGGCGACAGGGGTCGCGCGAGAAGTTGCGCTTGCATGCTTGCCTAGAGTCTGCGGCACAGGCGACAGACCGAGCCCCGGGGGTGGCCCGGCTAGCAAAGAAGAGATTGCACAGTTCAGCGTCAGATTTGCAACGAGTATTTCGCGATTCGAAGCAATTCAGCTCACAGACGACTGCTGTCGAGGCCATAGATGCAGACGGCTTCTCCGCTAGACGCAGTATAAATCGAAGAAATCAAGATGACACTGATCCACCGACCTAAACTCGCCCCGCTCCGAGTCAACGACACCGCCAAATGCGTCGTTGTGCCCTTCGTTATCGAAGTGAAATGTGAAGGCTAGTCTGTAAGACAGACCTCGAAACAGCTCGGACTCGGAGGATGATGCAAAGCAGACACTGCTTGCTCTCTTGAACCCGAGGACGGTGTGGAGATGTGTTCCAGAGCTGGCTCAGGCCAGAAGCTGTGCCGAATACTGTTGTGCTGGTTGTCGTTGGTATAGACGATTGAGTATTAATGTTGAAGGCAGACGGAGCCGGGACAGGTGATGTTGTGAGACGTTCTGATCGACGCTGTAGCGGATCAGCTATCAGAGGTACACGACTCTGCCATGCAGTGACAACGCTCT